TGTCCCATATCTCCTTAGCACTACTACAGCCAGAGATACGATTTGTTTCGGTCTCACCTATTGCTTGTTGTAGTATTGACATTGCCTTAGCATTCTTTTCCAGCAACTTGTAATCAGCAATGACCAATTCGCTATCCTTCTTGGGAACCTGGTTCCCCTCAACATCTGTCTTGAGAATGATATTAGGACCATTTTTAACTACGAGCCAGCATTCATAATCAATACCCATGATAACATTCTGGATCCTGTTCTTCCACCAAGCATAATTATTTCCATTAAACTTGGGTGACTTGTTGTCATAACCGATTGCACTTAATTCTTGAGTACTCATTCTTAACTCCTCTAGATGTTACTCTTTCGAGAAGCTTAGGCTCTGATACCAATTGAAGGTTCAATGGGCACTCAAGAGGGGGGGGGTGAATTGAGTGTTAAGTAATCGTTGGCTAATTTTGCTTCTTTTCGGATTGTGTGTGAGGAACCAGTTGTGCTGGTTCCCGTACGCAGCGGAATATAAATAAGCAATAAAGAAGACAACAAATTTAACGAAACAAAGCAATAAAGAACACAACAAATTTAACGAGGTTCAGCCAACTCAGGCCTACGTCCTCCTATCCTAAGTTCTTTATTAATCTACTCCGAAAAACAAAGACAAAGAACACTCTGCTGTTCCCTACTCCGGGAACCAGCAAACCCCACACTCTACTCCGAGTGTGCTCTCGACTTACACTCGTAAGCCCAATGTGTTTGAACTCACAAACACTCACCCAGCCTTTAACCCCTTTGTTAAAGACTCAATACAAGAATCAAGAACTCCCCTTTGATCTCACTTCTACAAAGCTAATTAAGAGAAAAAGTTTAAGTACTAGAATACTCTTGTATATGACTTGATGAATGGGATTAGTGCTTAAGTATATGCTCTCAAATAATTGCTCTTTTAATTTCTAGAGAGGCACACGAAATATGTGAAATAAGATGAGTTTATATAAGCTTAGATTCCTAAAACCTAGTTTCCTTAAATCACACAATCTTAGAGAATAAGATATAATGTAATTTTAGGAAAGTTTTTATCTTATTTGATTTAATCACAAAGATAGAATCAATTAAGATAAATACTCCTAGTTTTTAGGTAACCAAGAATATTTCATCTTATTTCCTGCTGCACAAAATATTTTCAAAATAATCTTTTCGAAAAAAAAAATCTTTTTGTAAAATCTTTTTCCAAAACGGCAGCTCGAATACAGTGAACCTGGTTCCCCGACCTGGTTCCCTGAATTGAAACATGTTATGAAACCTGTTCCAACTTTGTACCAGATTTCATATCATACTTCAATATACTTTTAAGCACTTATATAACCCAAACATGCAAGCATACTACGGAGCATATTACATGAAAACCTAGATAACATATTAAAGCATAAATCTTCTTTTCTTCATGTAATCTTCAAGACTTGAATCTTCCTTGAATACTTCTATTATGAGCAAACAATCTTTCTTCGAAATATCTTCGAAAGGCTTCTATGCTCCAAGTCTTGGAATCAACTCAACTACTGCACATGTAACATGGTTAATGCACAATAAAGAGTATGTGACTGCTTTACCACGTAGCAACCATGGAAACATTACATACTGGTTCCCTACCAGTACATAACACTTTTATCATATAACTGTTCCCTGTATAAAGACAAGTTAGTTCAATAAGAAAACTCATGTAAGTAATAACTTGTCTGGGGAAACAGTGTTCTATGTTAGCTGGTTCCCCCAACTGTATCGAACACTTTCAAGGACCTGTTTCCCTTAGCTGTTTGTCATCATTCAAAACTATCAATCAAAACCTAAGGGACTCAACAATTTTCGTCCTTGAAGGGACCGAGGATGACATGGACATCAATGCTGATGATGATGTCCATAAGGTCGTGGTTGATCTGGACATCCATGGAGCATATGTACCTCCTCCTACTGGTGAGGTTGTATACATTATTACAGTCAAGAGCCAGAGCAGCCACGACCCCGGGGTCAAGTATGCTATAAGGGAGTCCCAAAGTTTCAGGGTTGTCTACAAGGACTACGCCAACAAATTTGACTACAAGGTGGATACGGATCTGACCATTAAGAAGAATGGTGTTGTCATCCCACCTCAAGCAACTGCATCCGAGGTAGGGATTGTTGGTGGGGATGTCTTGATCGTTCATGGGAAGGTAAACGATTATTTAATATATATTTTCACGTGTATTACATTATTTGTTAATTTTTTTTTCAAAATTTGTTATATATAATATTGACTTTACTTTTGTTCATGATGCTATATTAACCTTTTTATAACCTTTTTAATTATAAATTCTCTTAAATTAAAAATTCGACAGAGCCCCGAGGACAATATGGACACCCGTCAGAAGCTCTTTTGGATAAGGGACGTGAAGACTGAACCGAGGAAGCGCAAGATTTCTGCCAAACTGAATACAAAGCTTTGGAGGTTGTATGAGATGTGGGCTGCATTGACTGACGTCAAACCAACCAAACTTATTCTCATGCACGAGAATCTAATGCTGACAGATGTTCACACCGTTGGAAAAGCCAAAATTAAGAATGAACAGGAGGTGTTTGCATACCCTTTAGCTGTGGAGACACCCCAAGAGATATGGGGTGAATTAACTTCTTAGGTTACCACTCATCTGGAAAACCATGAAACATTTTGGATGATCTTCATGTTTATTATGTTATTTGTTTTGATTTCATGGTGTAGTTGTTGTCTTGCTGTTGTCCAGGGTAATTCGTGCTGTTCTTGTCTACTATTTGCACATAAGGTGCATCTTTTGTACTCGCAAGCTTGTTGTTTATGTTGTTTAATATTTGTATGGGTGTTAGTTGTCTTTAGAAACATCTCAATGGAGGTATCAATGTATGAGATGTGATCAATGTAGTTCTTGGTTTTTTCTAATTTTTGCCACACGAGGATGTAATTGAACCCTCTTTTGTGTAATATAGTGAAAACATTATGGTGGCATTAAGTAATTATTTTTGGTTACAAATTACAATTATTTTTTTGTTAAACCGCTAAAAAACAAAAAAAAATTAAAACAATTAGATTAACAATTTAATCTCCCATAACTTGTCAGATTTTCTAAATTAATCATACGTTACAAACAATTTAACCTTGACTCTCTCTAAATCTGACCTTGATTAAGAATTTAAGTTACAAATACCGTAAACATAACGACGTTATTTTTTAAAATGAATTTGAACTTGACTCTCTCTAAATCCCACATAAAATGAGAATATTACCAACAAAACTATAAAAAAATTACCATAATGTAACTTCGCGGTACAATTAAAATCTAGTTTTGTTTTTATCTTAATGTTAGGATTAATAATTTGACCTTGTCAAATTAGAAGATCAACTATTACTGTAATCCAATTTCAAGTCTAATTACCTTCTTTATATACTTGTCAATGTTATGGTTTACAAATTTGACTTTTGTTAATTCTATGCACAACTATTAGAATTTTTTAATCCGATTACATGTCTAATTATTTTCATTAGATACTTGACTATTAGAAAGAGCAACAATTAGAATTTTTTAATCCGATTACATCTCTAATTATTTTCATTAGATACTTGTCTATTAGAAAGAGCAACACTTAGAATTTTTTAATCCTATTTCATGTCTAATTATTTTCATTAGATACTTGTCTATTAGAAAGAGCAACAATTAGAATTTTTTTAATCCTATTTCGTGTCTAATTATTTTCATTACATACTTGTCAATTTGAAAGCACAACTATTAGAATTTTTATATCCAATTTCATGAATTATTTTCATTACATACTTGACATTAGAATATTTTAATCCAATTTCATTTCTAATTAGCATTCGTAACTTGAATTTAAAAACAAAATTGATTTAATAAAAATAATTACAGCAACTATTATACCAAGGGCTTTTTAGTATACACTTACGTAGATTTGGCGCAATACTAAATTCTTTAATTATGTCGCAATACTAAATTCTTTAATAATGAGTCAGTGGAGTTGGCGCCAAACAACTTCACTATTCCCGCCCATGTACACAAGATCATATGTTGTTATAAAAGTCTACATGCAACCAGCACAATAAGGAATGAAGGGGGAATGAATGAAGGGGGAATGAATGGCATTGGTATTGAACACACTATACCAAAGTCAATCATATCTATCATAGACCCTCCTTCTGTACTCCCAACGTGTACAGAAACCTGCAGCCTGGTTAAGGGAGAGCACACCATATCATTCAACAGTTACAGTAACATGTTGAAGTTGTTCATTACTAGCAGAGGGTGTCAGTTGTCGGTGGTCAAACATCGATCTACACCTTTAACAAAAAATAATATGGATGGCAGACACATACAAATGGCATTCAACATCAAGAATGAGTTAAAGGCTGAAGAAGGGGTAAGATATGTTTTATGGAATTGCAGGCACATGTTGAAATGGCTTGGGTGATTAGCCAAGATCTGAATGCATTCCGGATTTACGGGAAATCCGTTGTAGGGTTGATTTAAGGTGTGGTGATAATCACTTTTACAAAGTCTATGAAGTTTCCTGATGGCAGAAGACGGTGGAGGAGAGAACCATATATCTTGGCATGTAGTCCATGAAGCCAGTGGGCACTAAACCGCAAACAAGGCAAGGTCTAGCAATTATCCCAATGTAGTAATCTTTAAGCCTATTGAGTTTAAGAGTTAGCTAGATCGTTTGTGTAAGCAATGTATTTTTTTGAGAAAAAAAAACTTTAATATTAGTCACTTAAAGGCTAGTAAAAGAATCATGGACTTCAGTACATTATTGTTGTACCACCTTTTGTAAGGCTTCAGGTCAAGTCGGCCATTTATATAATATCAACATCTTCATGGGCCCAAATTAATTAAAAGGCTTCAGGTCCATTACCAGATTTATGTATTATCAAAAACATGAAGAGTAGATGCCCAAAATAATACCGAAGGCCAACAAGATTTCATATAGGCCCATTTGAACAACTGCAACTGGGCCGACATTTCTTGAGGTCTCAGTGCATTAAAAAATATTTGAGTAAAACATATCGGATTCAATTGTTCATACAATACTGTTTTACAATGAAATGAAATTGAGATTTTGCAATGGAAATGCATAAATATTACAACACAGTAAGAACACTGACAATTCGTATGTGTCTTACACATCGGCTGACGATCTCTTTGAAATTCCATAATTGTTATTTCATCTACGGTTGTTTAAGGACAGGGTTGTTATTGAGTACCTTCACACTCCATCCAAGCTTGGTTGAAATGGACCCTAATACTCCAACATTCAGCATGCCACGCAATTCACCTAGCTGTGACAACAATGTTTTTGATGAACAAATTATGAAATGTGTAAGTAGAAAAAACTAACAAAAAATACACGAACACTGCTTCAAGATTAAGTTATATTACCAAACTGTTTATTTCCTTCCAAGTCAAACATGGCATCCCCGATTGAAGGACAATTATCTGACACATTTGTAGTGAAATAAACAGGGCAGAGCAATTGCTGCTTTGCGTTTTCCGAGTGAAGGTCGTGAATTGCAAAGGAAAAGACCATTGCGGTTTTGAGTTGTTTAAAAAAATAGTAACCTCGTACACCGGTAACAATGGTGAAACAGATGGCCTAAAAAATTGAGAGTTTGAACCATTATTGCACCTCCAAGGGTTTGCAGAAAACTTCATCGTTCCACTTATATCATTACGAACAAATGGTTTTCTATCCTTTCTCGCTGTCCTCCTCTTTTTCAAAGTTGTCGTACGCCTACTCCCAAATTCCTCTACAACCTGTATACCAAATTAAATTCAAATCAAATCGTATAAAGCCATTTGCCACTACATAAGTACATGGTCTTGAGATATACCTGGCAGTGTCAACTGGGCCATTACTATCCCTAGCCATATCAAGGTGCTGCTCACCATACGCAACGTCTAACATCTGCATCATTGTCCAAGTATTAGATGATGAGATTATTAAACTCAAAAATCATTTATCACATATTAAAAGGTCCTTACCCCAAGGTGCCCAAAATCTCCAGTAGCTGTAATTTTGTCTTCCTTAGCAGCACCTCTAATGTGCTGCATATTCCAAACCTTAATACGGGGAAAACTTCCCCATGACACCGGATCTCTATTTAGCCTGTCCAAGTAGAAAATCTATAGTAGACGTAAGTTACAGAGTAATTAAGTAAATCATCATCAAACCAAACAACAAAATGTCAATAATTACCACTAAGAAAATGGTACAACCACCACAACCCTTTGCAAAGCCAGATGCATAAAACGCCCTAGCAAAACTCACGACACTCTGCATCAATCTACCCATCACAAGTTCACACCAATCAAAATTCTGACAATCTGAAGCACAGGTCAAGGCGGGAACAAGGTCAGCAGCTAATCGTGGCGACTGAGTAGGACATAGAAGCATTTGCAATATTATCAACAGAAACAGGGTCTTAAACTCTTCTTTGTCATGTGCCTCCCAATAATCCTCCAACCTATCCATCATGCTAGAATTGATAGGAATCCCTGTAGACGTATACGTGCGGCCAAGAAAGTTTCTTGATTTACCCTCCCATGTTTTGCCATACTTTCCCAAGATCTCGTAGGTCTTTGCACGCATTTCTGTGCTCAATGATTTCTTGGTGGGCACAGGAAGTCCTCCATTCGGAATTCCAAGAACCCGATGGACTTGGTTGTTTGAAAATTTGAACTCTTTTCCATCACTGCCTATCAATTTTTGACTTATTGGATCAACGCGGCTCAATAGCCAATAGTTAAGTTTCCTCGGAAGTTGCAAATCAGACGGTAAATGAAGAAGGCCTCCAAATCCCATCTCCTTCACCCATTTAGTTGTCCTCTCATCAAATGTTTGACAGATCCTTGTAAAAGATTCAATCCGACACGTCAAATTAGGCGGCTGTCATGAACAGGGGAGTCAAATCTTAGTAGAGGAGAATCAAAACGCTGTTACTCTACCATCAAACAATTATACACGTCTTACCCGAGAGCTTCTCCTCTCATGTTCCTTCAACACAAGCCTCTGGGCCTTCACTTTACCACAAACAGTCATACAATTATCCTATTAAACAGGACAACAAATGAGTATCCAATTACACAAACACACAATATTATCAAGCCCACTTTACAATATTAAAGTTACCTTGAAAATTGCAGGAACAACCTGTTTTTTCTTAAGCCTGTATTGAGAATTGCCACCATCATCCTACATAAATCATGTATTATCAAAACACTTATTTTACATTTTTTAAACATTTACCTTTATCAAAAAACTTTGCTTCCAACTCACCGTATCCAAATCAGATACATAATTACATGGACTTCGGTCGCGCTTACTCCCCATAATAAAATCAATCTGCAGGTCAGCCAACTAATATTAATCCAATCACTGATTTTTGATGAAATTCTTCTAAAATGATTGATAGAATGGCACATGGCAATGATAAATATATGAAAAAATGATGCACAATTCCATGATTGATATTTCTTACAGTACACATAATATTTATCAATCATAAATATTAATAATTGTAATTAACAAACGAACAGATTAGCTACGGTTTTGTATGATTTTAAAATAATAATAGAACGCGGCAATACGAATGACTATTATTCCTTATTGTAGACACCTAAAAATATCTCCCCAAAACCAAACCCGATGATAAATAACATTTCACCGCCTCTATTGGTCGGGTTTAGTATTTAATCCCAAGAATGCTTAAAAAATCGTATTTTATTAAATTCATATTTTTGAAAGGTCCATGGATTAGTCTCGATATTTGGTAAAAGCATAGTTTTAATTTTAGCCCAAGCTTATTAATTAATTTTAAGCCCAAACCTTTTTATTTTATTATTTTATTATTTAATTTCGGCCCAAACATTTTATTTATTTTTATTTTATTATTTTCTTATTTTAGCCCGAAAAATAAAAGTCAGAAAAAAGCCCGAAATTATCAATCGGCACTTAAAAAGCCGAAAGAAATTAGGGTTAAAAATGAATTTAGACGGAAAAATGGACTGGAATTGACCGTGTCACGGTACAGTCTGACCGTGTCACGGGAACCCTTCCCGTCAGACGGTGGGACTTCCCGTGACACGGGAGGTCTGCCGTGACACGGGAAGTTCCGTGTCCTTTCCGCGTAAACCCTTAACGCGTTTTCCGTTCCGTTTTCTGAAAATTTCCCGCGTCACTCCAAAACTGATCGTGTCACGGGAATGTGTACCGTCTGACGGTACAGTCTAACCGTGTCACGGTACAGTCTAATTGTATAACACGGGATACTTTTTTAAGGTTTTTATCATTTTAGGGTTCTGTGTGCTCCCTCAGCACATTTCTCTATAAATACCCCCTCATTTCTGATGTACGGAAAAACGGGAATTTTATTATTCTTATTTTCTCTCTTCTATGCTATTAACCTAAACACTAGCCTACCCTTTTCACTTCAAAATTCCTTCTTCAAACACTCCAAGGAGTCCATATTTTACTCGAGGTTCTGTCCTTAAGCCAAGGCGTGAAAGGTAGAATCGTTTGAGGGTTTGGCCCCAAAATCAACTTTAGTTTTATTTAATTTAATTTAGTTATCTGAAAAAATCACAAAACTGACCTGGAACTGCGCACCGTGTCACGGCATGTTCTGCCGTGTCACGGTGAACAGTGCCGTGACACGGGAAAGTCTACCGTCTGACGGTAGACTGCACCGTGTCACGACAGTTTGCACCGTGACACGGTGCCCAGGAAAGTGTCCTGTCAGTCTTGTTCTCGATTTTTGTGCGAATGCTGTGTCCAGTTTTGAGTCGTGTCTAGCTATACGGTCAAAACACGCGTTCATAACCTCACTTAATCACTCACATGTCGTGTTCACACACTTTTTTGCTTAAAGTCGTGCACGACTTTTTTGACCGTATTTTAGGGAAGTCTTGTTTTTGTGTCGTTTTTTTTAGAGTAAGTCGGATGGTATCCTCCCTTTAAAAATAAACAAGCAACGTTTCAAATTTTTTTTTTTTTTTTTTTGCCGTGACACGGGAATTTATCCCGTCTGACGGGAGAAGTGTCCCGTGCCACGTCACCCCCTATAAAAAAAAAAAAAATTGTCGTGACACGGGAATTTATCCCGTCTGACGGGAGAAGTGTCCCGTGCCATGTCACCCCCTATAAAAAAAAAAAAAATTTGCCGTGACACGGGAATTTATCCCGTCTGACGGGAGAAATGTCCCGTGCCACGTCACCCCCTATGAAAAAAAAAGCGTCAGTTTTGTCTTCCGTGTTAATTTGGTCCTCGCGTCAGTCATTTTGGTTATTGTTCACATGTCTAGCCATACGATCATACCACGAGTCTTATAATATCACTTAGTCACTTACGAGTCAAATATAGTCCACACACTTTCTTTATGTTCCGACTCGAGTCGTGCACCAGGTCGTTTATGATCGTATATTAGGTTCATGCACCCTTTTTTCGTCATAATAAAAAAATGAGTGGAGTTTTCTCACCTGTTTTCAAATGTCTATTTTTTCCTTCCTTTCCTATCTTGAGCAATGAGTCAAACAATTAAGTGAATTGTTTTATTTCACAATACTTGTTCAAGGAACAGAGATAGATCAATACGGTTCGAGCCATTACCGCAACAATCTCTCAGATCTAATAGGCGTTCAAAGAGAACTTTGTCATCTCCGTCACTCATCACCTTTCAATGGCCACTAAAGAAGACATTGAGAACATCAACAAATCCATTGAGGCACTGTCTTCCATGATGCAAACCCTTACCTCTAGGATCACTACCATGGAACAAAACAAGGTCACTGTTTCCACCCTTGACAAACTGAAGGAGCAAATGAGTAAGATTTCTGAGGATTTCACTTATGTGGAACGACCTCCCACTCCTTTGAATGTGAAGGACAGACTCCCTGAAAAGTTCTCCACTGCTGATATTCCAAAGTTCAAGCCTACTGACAATCCAATGTTCCATTTAAAGGCGTTCTCTGCAACCATGACTCTTAAGGGATTGGACGTAACACTCTTCCCTACGGTGTTCCCTCTCTCCTTAGAACATGCTTGCCAACAATGGTTTTATTCCTTAGATGCCAAGCATACTGCGACTTGGCAAGATGTCACCGACAGTTTCATGAATCGTTACAAGTGTAACATTCAAACTAAAACTTCTGAACGTGAACTCTCCATTCTCAAACAGAAAGAGAATGAAGGCTTCACCGCTTACCTGAACAGGTGGAGGGAAACAGCTTCACTCTTGGTAGATCCCCCCAAAGAAAGAGAAATGGTTCGCCTCTTTATTCAAAATTTGACTCATAAATATAGGGAACATCTCAAATTTCTTCCACTGAACACTTTCGAAGCTGTATACGACATCGACATCAATATCGAGGATGAGCTAATAAAGACTGCTGGTAGTAACAATAATAACACTTGGAAAAACAAGAAGAACGACCATCCTTCTTCTTCGTCTTCTAAGCACGAAAATACTACCAACAATATAAGCCAAGTTGATCTCAATGAAGTGTTAGCTCTTACTCCATTGCCCAAGAAGAAAAGAACTTACACTCCTTTAGGAATGACTTATGATGCGGCCTTTGATCGCCTTTACAGTTAAGGCCTGATCACACCTATTAGGCCATTTGCAGAGCCAAAACCTGAAGAAAGGAGCGCCAAATGCAATCCCAATGCCCATTGCAAGTACCATCAAGGAAGGGGCCACACTACGGAGCAATGTTGGAATTTGAAGGACATCATTCAAGACTTGATGGATGCAAATAAACTTCCTGTCCCTCCAGGCGGCAAGAAGTAATGAATACAAGGCACACAGATCCTTCGTGCAAGATTTCATGCTTTTTTTTTTATTCTTTTGTTTCGACCCTCTCCCCCAATAAGTCTAGCATAGGTTCCCGTTATCCATGTGTCTATGTGTCACATTTCTTACCTTCTTCATAAATGAGCATCTCTTTCTTACATTCGATCATGTGATTAGCAAAAAAAAAAAAAAAAAAAAAAAAATAAAATAAAAAAAAAAAAATTGCCGAACTAAACACAAGGTACACCAATGATTTGAGGCACCTCTGCAACCCCGTCATTCCCCATTAACCACCCAATCACATATCCAGTTCTTCATTAACCACTTTGAGCCTCGTCTAACGTTTGACCTTCATTTCTTCAACCCACATTCACTCAACCCTGGGATTTTAAGATGTGTAATTGTATAACATTCAAAAAGCAAGTAAAAAAAAATAGCAAAGCAAAAATAAAACAATGTTTAAAGGCAAATGTTCCAATGTCTTTGATATGAACACGTCTCAAATTGCATCTCTCATCGAGTGCTCGGTACCGTGCCTGAGAAACATGAATGCTAAGTGAGTGATAGACCGCATGATCTGAGATTGCCTACATTGATTCAAAAGAATGAAAAAAAAAATTCAAAGCAAAAAAAAATGTGTTGAAAATAAACTTGCAAAATTCAAAATTTTCAAATTCAAAATTACACATCTTGGGGATTCTCTCGGGTCTTGAGCCCTTTATCCCTTTCTTCCTTAAACCATCAACTTAACCACATTACAACCCTTGAAAGACCTCTTTGAGGTGTCCATACACTTGTGCAAAGTTCGGTTAGAGCTACGTTCGGCCTGATTCCTAACGGATACGTAGGCAACCTCACATCGAGGTGCAGCCACATTCATATTCATATCCATGCATGATCGAGTCAAAGAATATCCAATGCTCATCCCTACCCATTTAGAGCTAGACTTGGGGGCTTGAACCCAAATCACATTAGCTTACCCAGCCTGAAGAGTCATCATCTTTAACTCTTCTCACATCTCTTTCCATCGCTATAACCAATTCTTTTCAGGACAGAACCTCGTTAGACTTGTATGTGGTTAGAGTCTTCTTTAACATAAACTAAGATTTTTCAATTTTAGTAAGAGATATGATGTTCAAGTTGTGTGTTTACCCTCTTTGATACCCATCTGCTTTGATTGCATAATATTGGTTGGATGAGAGTGGCTTGTTGATGATAGGAATCAAGTAAACATCATCAACATTAGGGGGAGAAGGACCATCCACCACCATGATAGATGGAGAGGAGCTTGTTTTGTGGGAATGGTAGATTTACAACATATGAGCACTTGGTTTGTTTAGGTTCTTCATCTTGAATTACCAAAAAACCCGAATTTGGACCTTCAGGAAATAATTTCATGGCTTTTGGGGAATCCTTGATAAGAGACAAGGGTCTGGTTGTATACATTTTCCCCACTTTGTATATACTTAGTCACCAGGTACCTCCTATTTTTGGCTGGTTGTATTTGTAGTATTGAACATTGATATATAGTTGATATTGTGCGATGCGCGTTGTCTCCCAATAATATAAGGAAACTGGCAAGGGGAGACAATTGTATAATAAATTGACATTGGAACATGTATCTCACTGAAGCCATACATAAGGACATTTTAATCCAATAATCTAGCTTGATAATGATAATTTTTGTGCAGAAAATAATTTGTTATTGTAGGTTGAAATAGTATGAGATGGTGAGTAATTTCCGTCTATGGAATTCATTCTGATTAGTTTGACTAACTTGCTAAAGAAACTGCTTCAGGTTTTCAGGCTATATCAGGCGGCAGATGATCTGTTCTGAACTTCCTATTGCATGACTTTTATAATTGCTGAGTAAGACCCTCTCCAATAATCTGCTCTGTTTTTTCCCTTCTCTCTAGAAAATGGAAACTTGATCATAAAAGTTCATATTCAGAAACTATACATTGAGAAAATTTCTTATATGACTATATTTGATCTTATATATAAAGTATAAACATTGGTGAAAGCGATCTAAGTGAGTAGTGCAAAAGTCAAACTGTGATATTAATAAAATAAAAATAAGAAACACTTCAAAAGAATATTGTAGTACGTTGATTGCAATTATAGGTTTAGTACATAAATCAATCTTTTCTTACTTAAATATATTTTACACCATATTTTTTACACCTTAGAAATCTTTTAAGTAAGTCAAATCAAATGCAAAGTACTACAATTCCAATATCATACAGTTTAATTTATTAAAAAAGCCACTCAAGACAGAGAAACAGGATATGATGTCATAATCATCCCCAAAAGCAAATGTAAAGTAATTACAACATTGTTATGTTCAGAAATTACACAGACAAATTTAAACTTCTTGAGCATGCTGTTGTTTCCAAACGATCATGCAGAAATAGCAGAATTACAGGAAGACAATGCTAATCCCTCTAAGAAATTCAGGAGTCATTTATGTGACTCCCATTTGCTTCTTATCTGGTGAGTATGTCTGAAATCATATGTCAGCAAAATTCGCCCATTATTTCTCTTCAGAACAAAACTTTCAACTAGTAAATAGCAACCAAATCTTTTCCAGTCTCCTGTTCCTTCATATGTTTCATCTTTAACCACCCTGACGCGCTGCGCTTTCTCTTTATTCCATCCAACTCTTTCTTGTTCCCATATCATTCTTTCTACAATCAGTGTGCTCGGCCCAACAAAAACTTCATCCATTCCGCTTTCATCAGTAGACTTAAACCATACCTCTATCATTATATCTCTCTTCTCGAGCAGCTTCCTGATCTGCAATTTTTACAGATTCTGTTGGAACTATCATGTCGACTGTCACTTTCTTTCCTTGATTGTACCTCCTCTCAGCAGCATATATCTGCTCCCATCATTGCTCAAGTGTCATTTCATAGAACATGTTCTCTTTGACTTGATGTTTCCTTCTCCCATCTTTAATGAAGATAAAAGGGCAGTACCATTTACCAACAACCACAGGCTTTGAACATACTTGAGAGGACCAAAAATTGAAGTCTGGAAGATGAGCTCTAAGAGAAGAGCCAATACCTTGAGCCTCTCCTATATAAAAATTTTCCGGAGATCTGGATTTTATTCTACTTCCTCTGGCACAAAAAAGCATAGGAGGGTAACCATCAACTGCGACAGATTTAGCTACAGGCCTGCTGAAGTTTGAATTTTTTGTTATAGAGAATTCAAACTGCTGAGTGCTGACATACGTCGTCTGGATCAAAGGGTCTTGGAGCACCATCTGTGATGCATGGGATGCAGAAACAGCAGACGTCCATGTCTTCTTCTTTTGAGCTTGCATATGCTTCTCTGTTACCAAAATTAAAACAATTATATATATGACAAAGTCACAAATATTTGTCTAGGAAAATTTTGTGGGACTATCAATCAATCAGGAAAATTTGGACCTTCTGGAAGTAATGTAAGGGTTTCCGGGCAAAATTGGTAATGAGATAACGGTCTGGTTGTATACATTTTTTTACCTCTATACTTAAGTCACCAGGTTCCCCTTATTCTTGGTTGATTGCAGTATTATACAGTGATATATAGTTGACCTATATACTTTAATATAAATTGCCGCCTTAACATATTAATTTGAATTCGTCTAAATAATAGAGTACTTGATGCTCTGAGGTTCCCATTTTATGGTCAACAAGCAAAGTTTTACCTAGTCATTGAAGGATACAAGTACTGTTCTGTATATTTAGTTGTTAAACCTATGTGATGTGTGCGGTCTCCCTATATAACTGGCAAGGGGAGGCAATTGCGTATTGTATGATAAGATGATATTGGAACATGTATTCTCCAAAAGCTATAGAAGGGGCATTTTGATAATGATAACTTTTGTACAAAGATGTTTTGTTATTGTAGGTTGAAATTGTATGAAGTGGTGAGTAATTTTCTTCAATGGAATTCTTGTTAGTTTGATTGACTTGTTAAGAAAACTTAACAAATTATAGGAAATTTCATTAGTTTGATACCGCTCCTGTTTGTTTCTTAGTAGATGCTCCCATTTTTCCTCTTCAATACGTACAAAACTATATTAAAGACATGCTTGGATTGAGGGTAATATATTAAGAGGGTAATAAAAGTCAAACTTGAAAAAACAAAAGTAATTAGAGGTAGTGCTGTAAAAGACATGATGTTTACAAATGAAATAAGGTAGTTGTGTTATTAGAAAGAGAGAGATGGAGGAATTATTACTCTCATAATGAGGGTGATAGTTACCCACCCTCCCCCTAATGTAACTATTACCCCAAAACGAGAGTATTAATTCCTCTTTCTTCACCTCACATCATATCATCACTACATAATTTTCTTACAATCACATCATCACTATCTCCTTCTTCCCTATTTTTACATTCATTTTGCTTAGTTCAACTTTTATTACCCCCTCAATGTATTAGCCCCAAATGAGTTCAGCCCTACCCAAGTTGTTTTTGTTCTGCTTCCATCAAGCATATTTATTTGATTGATGGAGATAGGAGGATATAATTTGGCAGAGTTGGGGGGCGGGGGAAGAGGAAGAAGGGTTTAGTGAGGATAGAGAATTTGCTAGATAAATTTTATTTTCTATACATTAAAATCTTTCAAGTAAGTTAAGCAAAATGCAAAGTACTTCAATTCCAATACCACATAAATTCATAAAAAACACATAAATGTAAAAGCAACAGGATATGGTGTTACAGTCATCCCCAAAAGCAATGTAAAATATTTACAACTTTGTAATGTTCAGTAATTACACAGACAAATTTAAACCTTGCGAGTATACTGTGTTGCTAAAGGATCATGCAGAAATAGCAGAATTGCAGGAAGACAAAGGCACAAAGCTTATAAATCTCTCAAGGAAATTCAGAAGTCATTGATGTCACTCCCATTTGCTTCTTATCTGGTGAGTATGCCTGAAATCATATGTTAGCAGAATTCGCCCGTTATTTCTCTTCAGAACAAAACTCTCAACTAGTAAATAGCAACCAAATCTTTTCCAGTCTCCTGTTCCTTCATATGTTTCATCTTTAACCACCGTGACGCGCTGCTCTTTAATCCATCGAACTCTTTCTTGTTCCCACATCATTCTTTCTACAATCAGTGTGCTCAGCCCAACAAAAACTTCTATTCCGCTTTCATTTTTAGATCTAAACCATACCGCCCCTCTATCATTATTTCTCTCTTCTTGAGCAGCTTCCTGACCTGCTATTTTTACAGATTCTGTTGGAACTATCACGTCGACTGTCACTTTCTTTCCTTGATTGCAACTCCTCTCAGCAGCATATATCTGCTCCCATTGTTGCTCAAGTGTCATTTCATAGAACACGTTCTCTTTGACTTGATCTTTCCTTCTCCCGTCTTTAATGAAGATAAAAGGGCAGTACCATTTACCAACAACCACAGGGTTTGAACATACTTGAGATGACCAAAAATTGAAGTCCGGAAGATGAGCTCTAAGAGAAGAGTCAATACCTTGAGCCTCTCCAATATAGAAATTTTCTGGAGTGTTAGATTTCATTTGACATCCTCTTGCTTTTAAAACTTTAGGAGGGATACCATCAAGTGCAACAGATTTAGCTGTGGGCATGAACCTGCCGAGGTTTGAATTTGTTACAAAGAATTTAAACTGTTGATAGACGTCGTCTTGATCAAAGGGTCTTGGATCTTCATCTAGTATGCATGGGATACTACAGAAACAACAGATGCCCATGTCCTCTTTGACTGAGCTTACATATGCTTCACTGAGCCAAAATAAAATTAAACATGTTAGAAAATCGTAAATTTTTACCAAGGAAATTCTGGTAGGACTTGCACAATAAGTGAAGATAGGAATACGAGTTATGCGATCAAATATATATGTCTGGTGGGTTACACCACCTATTATTAGATGGAAAACCATAGGACTTGTATGTGAATAGACCGTCCTGAACATGAATGAAAATTTATCAATTTATTAGTTTATATTTTAAGTTGTGTGATTACCCTCTTTGCCTCCCATCTGCTTTGATTGCATAATATCGGTTGGATGAGAGTGGTTGGTTGATGACTGGAATCAAGTAAACATCATCAATAGTTTGGCTGCGATTATCACCAGTAATAATGGAGAGATACTTATTTTGTGGAAATGGCAGATCTTCAATAAGCCAGTTCTTGATTATCTTGGTATCCTTGAAGAAACCAAAAAAAGAGGTCTTGATAGTTTTATCACCTTGAAGTACCAAATAACCTGAATTCGGACCTTCTGGAAGTAATCTGAGGGCTTCAGGGCAATCTTGGTATAGAGATAAGGGTCTGGTTGTATACATTTTTTACCTCTATACTCAGCCACCAGGTGCCCCTTGTTCTTTGTTGATTGCAGCATTGTACATTGATATATAGTTGACCTGTATACTTTAATATAAATTGCCGCCTTAATACGTTAATTTGAATTCGTCTAAATAATACATACTTGATGCTCTCAGCATCTGAGCTTCCGATTGAATATTCTATGTTAGCTCAGAATAATAGATGGAGAATTGTACTAACTACCCAAAGTTCTATTTTTGGAAAATAGGCTCTTAAGTTATACTCCGTAGTTGTTAAACCTGTGTCACTGTGTGATGTGCGCGATATCCCTATATAACTGGCAAGGAGGCAATTGTTTAATAAGTTGACATTGGAACATACATTTCCCAGAAGGCATAAGGAGGGGCATTTTGATGCAGTAATTTAGCTTGATAATGATAACTTTTGTACGGATATTATTTGTTATTGTAGGTTGAATTAGTTTGACTAATTAACTTGTTAAGAAAACTTAACCAACAAATTAACATTGGAAATTAGAAGTTTTAAACATGTCCATCACTTTTCAACTGCATCTGGTTTTTCAGACTGCATCAGGGAACAAATGATCCATTCCGATTACATGAGAATTTGACTTCTATAATATTTGCTGAAAAAGCCGCTTTCTCTTGTATGCTCAATATTTTCATTTTGTCTAGAATGTGAAACTTGGTCACAGTACAAATGAACTGATTCAATTATTAACATATACGCAGTAAAAACTTGTACAATCTAGCACACAGTTAAACCTTGCAGATATATTGTTTATGCAGGCAACTCAGGATCGGAGTCACTGACATACCAATCCCATTTGTTTCTTATCTGATGAGTATGCCTGAAATCATATGTTAGTAGAATGCTCCCATTATTCCTCTTCAATACAAAGCTTTCGACGAGCATATAACAACCAAAACTTTTTCAGTGTCCCATGCCTTCATATTCCTTTTCTCTTATGACCCTAATCCACTTCTCTTTCTTTGTAACCCATCCAACTCTTTTTTCTTCCCACATTATTCTTTCTATAATCAATGAGCTCAGCCCAACTCGGGTTTCTGTCCCGCTTCCATCTATAGCCTTAAACCACACCACTCCTCTGTTATCAATTTTCTCTTCTTGTGTAGCTTTCTGCCCTGCAATCCTTACCATTTCTGTTGGAACCACCACATCGAGTGTTATCATCTTTTCCTCGCCGTAATCCCTCTCAGCACCATATATCCGTTCCCATCTTTGCTCAAGTGTCATTTCATAGAAGACGTCCTCTATCATTTGATCTTTCACCCTCCCATCTTTGATGAACAAAAAAGGGCAGTACCACTTACCAATAACCACTGATTTTGAACGTTTTTTAGTTGGCTTAAAATTGAAGTCCGGAAGATGTGTTCTATGAGAAGGGTCAATACCTTGAGCCTCTTTCAAATCGAAATGTTCAGGAGGCTTGGATTTCATATGACATCCTTATGAGCGTAAAAACTCAGGAGGGTAACCATTAGGTGCTAAGGATATAGCTATGGGCATGTATGTGTTGCGACTAGAATCTGTTACAAAGAACTCGAACTGCTGATATACGTCGTCTGGATCAAAGGGTCTTGGATCTTCATCTGTTATGGATGGTAAGCAAAAACAGCAAGTAACTATGTCTTCTTCTTTTGAGCTCGCATATGCTTCTCTGTCATCAATCAAATTATTCAAAATTTGTAAATCGTAAATTTCTTAGTTACCTCAATCAAAGAAATAAGACTTATATATAAGTCAAGTGGGTTACGCCACATATCACCAAATTGGTATTAGTGTAAAATCTTGTTAGACTTGTATGTGGTCAGACTCTCTATAATTGATTATTGGTTAAGTCTAACAAGATTTATCAATATTTGGTAACGAATGTTTAAAGTTATGCATTTATCCTACCCTCTATGTTGTCCACTTGCTTTGATGACATAATATCGGTTCGATGAGAGTGGCTGGCTGATGACAGGAATCATGTAAACATGATCAACAACAGGGGCAACAGGACCACCACCACCATGAGAGATTGAAAGGAGTTTATTTTGTGGAAATGGTAGATTTTCGATGGGCCAACTCTTGATTGTCTCGATACTCTTGAACATCCCAAAAAAATATGTTGGAGTAGATACATCAGCTTGAAGAACCAAATAACCCGAATTCGGACCTTCAGGAAGTAGTTTCATGGCTTCAGGGGAATTTTGATAAAGAGATAAGGGTCTGGTTGTATACATTTTTTATTCCCAAGTCAGCAACTCACAAAGTGCTCCTTATTCTTGGTTGATTGTAGATTTGTACTATTTTACATTGACAAAATAAGTTGACCTTAATATGTTAATTTGAATTGGTCTATATAATGTTATAATGTATTAATGTTTGATGCTGCCATCTTAATTTGCCGCTTTTGAGGGATGACTGTGATTGGAAGAATAAGTTATTCTGCAACTTAGTGTCCTATTGAATGGTCAGCAATTCAAGTTTAGATTTCAGAAAAAGAAAAAGAAAGAAAAAAAAAAAAAGAGTTGTACTTAGATATTAGTTGTATAAAATCTCAGGACAATAGATGGAGAATTGTATAAACTATCACTAGTTTTGTTTTCTTTGGAAAATAGGCTCTTAAATAATGTAGTTATGTAAAAGATTATCTAGTCGATAAACATGAGGTGTGTAATAGTGTAATTGTGTACTCAGTGGCAATATTGTGATTAAAAGCAATTGAAAACGTGCCAGCTGAATATATATATGGAGTACTTCTCAATGCTTGCTCATCACAAAATTACAAGTTACTCCAAAAAAAAAAAAAAAAAACTAATTATGTTTTTTTATCATATGATTTGAACATGAACCAAAACATGCCCAAAAAATTAATATGGCTAATACACTAAACTTATTATTAGTAGACTTGTATCTTGTATGCCATCCAACTCGGTTCAAATTGACTTAAATCATATCGAATGATTAATCACTAACCTGACTCAAACTATACTATTCAAACAAAATGTTAGATACCTCTTCCCTGCTATATTTTTGAATCAATGTAATAGTGTAGTACCAAATGATATTTGTTAAATTTTGAAACAATATGAAATGGACCTGGGCAACCCAAACAAGGAGGAGGAGAGTTTGGTCCACAAACAAGGTTTTGGAGCTTCCATACTAAAACCAATTGGCAATAGTAGAAGTAACTCCTCTACCTTATAAAGTGGAACCACCTCTCCTCTTTCTCCAATGTGGGACACTCACAAGTGGGCTACAATGGGTTTCAACAGCATCCAGGAATCCATATCAAAGTACACTAACTTTCAAAAAAAAAACTTGCAATAATTCACTCACTGTTATTAAAATTCAAATGACATTGATCACACATTCACACACAAATGACACAATTAGGGGAATAAGATGCAATTCATGCAAATACACTCTTAAAACATAAAAATTAAAGGTAGAGGACCATGTTAAAGGACCAACTCAACCAAAAGCTTAAACTGATGGTTGGGGCCCAGGAATATGTTTTATACTCTATCACGCCCCCTCACACGAGAGCCCGTTTGGGCTAGAAGTGTGGATGCAGCATGAGTCCTCCTCATACCCACCGTATTGGTACGAACTACGATATTGTTGGGTTTCTTAAAAAAAAAAAGGTCTTCCTACCTAGTGTCATGACTCATGAGCACACCTAGTGTTAACTTGAAATTGACCCAAACTCGAAAATTGACCAACCGAAGTAGGGTTTACTTGAAGCTGACCGGACCCAAAATTAACATGATATAACTATATAAATGACACAAAAATTGAATTGATGTCCAAAGTGACACGACTCGATTTAATCGAATTAATAATGGCCTGAAGTGACTCGATACCCGAAATAACCCAAATTATAATTACTTTATACCCGAAATGACTAAATAAAATATAATTGATACCCAAATTGACCTAACTAATTACTATTATTATTATTATTATTATTATTTAGATATGTAATTTTATTTTTTATTTTTTTTATTGGTGAAAAAGAGGGGCAAGCCCCAAGATATGCAAATTTGTTTATTTCCTTGATTTTTGTTTTTGCAAGAATGTTTCTTGATTAAGGACCTGTTCTCTTCACTTGAAACAAGTATGTTGGTGTCTGAGTTTTCAAAGGTCTGATATGAATTTTTATTATCTAGTCTAGTCTGATTTGATTTAACAATTTGACTAAACTTTGACTGCATTTTAATACTAATCTATAAAGAAAAAATCATCAAAATGGATCTTGTTAAATTCGTCTCATTATAGACTTTTCAAATATATAATATTTATAATTTTTTAATACACAATTAACAATATTTAACGATAAGTAAATGATAATAAAAAGTTTTAATCTAAATCTTTCTTATCTGGTCTGATTTAATATGAATTTATTAAGGAATAAGTAATAAATCTGAAATAAATCGAAGAGAACAAGTCCTTAATGTAAGAAAACACATTATCTTAATAATAATAATAATAATAATAATAATAATAATAATAAATGTATTGATTTTGAGCTATACCCAATCACCCAAAGTATCGACCTAAAGTGGAATAACCTGAATATGTCCCGACAATTGGACTCGAGATTGACCAAACTTGAACGGACCAACTACAGCGACCCTACTCAAATTTGACTCAACCCAAAGTGTTGACCCTGACCCGACCCGATTAATTGACTAACTAGAAACCCAAATTGACCCGACTTGACCTGAACTTGACCCAAAATAACTCGACCTATACCCGAACCAAATGACATATTTGCCAAGTCTTAATGAGCTATTGAATTTTTCAAGTTGTTTTTTCTTATTACTACAGTAGTATTAACATAATTTTTGCATCCCCCTGGTGAAAAAAACTTCTCTGGCCTCCAAAATTGCTAGTGTTTCCTTTCTCCGAGTACTTTCTACTACCCTTGCAGATAAAGTTGATTTAGGGTGAGGCTGGGCCAAGTCTTGAGACAAGCCATGGGCCTTAGGGTTGTATAGGTCCAATCTCCATGGCCTGATCCACCACTAACAGGTTGGGCTCAAAATTGAAATGTAAATTCCAAGTACAGCCCAAAACCTTATGCCTTGAGGGTTGGGTTGGGTCGATGCTAGCTAGTATTAGGGATGACAGTGGGTCAGGTTAAATGGGAGACCCGCCCAAGTGGGGCGGGGATGGAGGGAGGTTTGGCAGGTGATGGGGCGGGGATGGGTATAAAATGTGTACCCGCCATGGGTGATGGGGCGAGTATGGATTTTAGAGTAGACCCGCCCCGCCCCGTACCCACCTTATACCTGCACCATATTTCTTTTAAAAAGAGTTGTGAATTTATGAAACTTGATACCCCTAAGACCTAATAAGCTTGAATAGTGAAAGTCCCAATTTTCTTAACCTAATTTGATATAATCATCATTAATGTGATACAATAGAGCATCATGGCAAAGGGTTTGAGACGATTTTGGGGCGGGTATGAGGTAGGTGGGTATGAATATCCAAGTGGGTGATAGGGCGGGGATGGATCCTATCTCGTACCCGGTGGGGCGGGTATGGATGTGGTTATTGTACCCGCCACGGGTGGTGGGGCGGGGTATAAAATTTTTAGGCGGGTATGGGTATGGAGGTACCATCATCTGCATCTGACCCGCCCCATTGCCATCCCTAGCTAGTATAGTCTAAGGGTCGAAGAGTTGGCCCACAAGCTTCCTTTAGAGAGAAAAAATTGGAAATAATAATCTCAACTTTGGATCATTTAATTGTTATTAATCCCAACCATCAAGGAGTAATCTAATAATTTCAATCTTAGAGGCGTTTTATTTTATCAGGTCAATTTTTTTTTGACGGTATTTTATCAAGTCATTAGCGGTCAACGACTTGTTTTAAAAAGTTACTTGACACTTGTCAAGCCCTAATTCGTCCAAAAATTGAAAACAATTAAAAATAATATTTTAAAATAAAATTAAAAATGGAAAAAAAAACCCACCTCCCCTTTCCCCCCGCCGGAAAACATACACCCTCTTCCTCCCCTTTCCCTGCCGAAAACCCAACCGCACCATTCCTGGCTTCCCGCCCTTTCCTAATTTGCAATTTTTTTTTAAATGGCTACAATTTACAAAATACATATTTTAAATGGTTGCAATTAACAATTTTAATTTTTAAAAAATTACAAAATAAGAAAAGTTTTGTAAAGGTTTCACATATTTAGGGCATGTTCTGATTTATTGAACTAAGCTGAACTAAGTTGAAATGAATATTTTATGAGAGAAGGAAATTAGGAACTAAACTGATTGAAGCTGAAGTGAACTGAATTGAAATTTAGCTGAAAAGAACATGTCCTTAATAAAAGTAGCACATAATAAGAAATAGAGGTGGCGTTTTAGAATAAAAGCTTATGGAACATATTACAAGGATTTGATTATAACCATGAGATTAGGGCATTATGTATGTATCTCATGCTTCACTGAGCTTATGGTTGGAAAATTGATATCAAATTTGGTAAGATACAATTTTTTATTTTCCTTATTATTTTAGGTGTGTGAAATTGATAAATAATTATTACTCCGTATTGAGTATCAATTTCTTCGGGTCTTCATCTCATTATATGATCTGAGATAATGTACATACATACACTAGACTAATGGAGGTTAATTATGTAATAAGTAGTTTTTAACTTTTTTTATTTTTGGGATATTTTTGGGATATTGTTATATACATCCAGATGCACGATGTACTCATGAGTATTTGTTCTCATTTTGATGATTGTTATTCATTTAATATCAAATGAAGAGCAAAAACTAAATCGGGTTAATTGAGTGTACAATGTATCCGGGTAGTGGCGGATGTTGACCGAAAATATGAGCGGGACCGCTATTTGAATCTTAACTAGTTACTATATTCCAATATCAATCAAGCAATCAATAACTATATACTAAAAGACACACCAGCTATGACACATATTGTATTTTGGTGTGTCCTTAATTTTTTTTTTTTTTTTTTTGATTTGAAAGCTTATTTTGAGTAAAAATTTCTTTTCAAGTTAAAAAAGAATTAACTAATAAAACATGAATAGTCATAATGATAGCAAAATAATCATAGCAAGAATTTATGTAGCAAATCAATCATAGCAAGAGTACTCTTTTTTTTTTTTCGAACAATACTCTCTACTTTTTATACTAGACTTAGGCTAGATTATATTTCATTATTTCTTATTTTAAAAAAAAATTGACAAAAGAATTAAATA